CCGCCTTGCCTGCCCCACCATTGGCAGACGGGCCTTCAGCCACTCTGCCCGCACCCTCTGGAATTCCATCCCACAGTCCCTCCACCTTGCCCCCTCCCTTGCCTCCTTCAAGACCCATCTCAAGACCCTCCTCTTTGACCGTCCCTTCGGTCACCCTCGTACCCCTACTTTCCTCGCCCTCCAGCCCTCCTGATCCCAAGCACTAGCTTGGGTGTGGATCACTGACTGTCCAGCGCCTTGGGGCATCCTCCTGACCACGGTGCTATACAAATGTAATTTGTTGTTGTTGTTATATCAAATCAATGCGCTCCAGTCACAGGGTTTGCCTGTTTATGGGACATTTCTCTGAGCAAATTGACTGCTGCATTCACCTACAAAATACTACACTTCACAGTACGTTTTGTTAAGTTCTTTTAAGGCATCTTCTAAACATCAAAGGAGCCAAATGAAATGCAAAGATTTGCTCTGCGGTCATCTTTGCCCTCCCCATGCCTCTTCACTCCTACCCCCAGCTCAGGTGCTAAACCAGTTTTGTTTAACGCCTGGGGATTAAACCCCTCCCAATGTGAAATGAATGTAATATGTGAATGTAAATGTATAGAATACGCAATAATAATCCTCACATTAAATTATAGCGTCTTATCATGTCAGCTCAAAGCGCTTCACAGAATAGACTGCAAAGTAGATTGACTGTATATTTGGTGGACGAAACGCCCACATTTGTATTGTATCATTGTTGGTGGTGTACATCTCTCCTGTATGCTAAAGATGCATCTTGAATGAACACAAATGGCAACACAAAAAGGAGACGGCTTGACTTAAAAAGTTCAACAAATGGAGTAAATGGCCTGTAAAGTCAGAATGGAATACTTATAGAACCATGTGCCAGTCTGTAATTGATCTCTTTGCACGGCTCCAGGCAGAGGCAGCGCGTGTCAGACTGTGACTGATACCTTCAGTCTCCAAAGGTTAAACGATACCTTAAAGCCAAAGTTGTGGAATGGTGCGTGAAAGATGAGCTGTAATATTCCTTTCATTCCTCCCCTCACCTCCCCCCCACACCCCACCCCCACCCCTCACAGCTCCAAGCCCTAACAGCAAGCATTCGGAAATTAACCCGTGCATTGCCGGAAAGCAGCACTTCATCTCCATTGTTTTAATAATAATAATCCTTGCATCTGATACAGTGTCTTATCACGTCTTCAAGACATCTCAAAGCGCTTCACAGAATATACTGTAAAGTTCATTTGACTGTATATTTTGTGGGCAAAACGCGGCAGCCAATTGCGCACAGCAGTGTCCCACAAACAGTCGTGGATCGAGAGACCCATATAGTTTTTTAAGTTTATTTTTGTTTTAGCGTTTTTCTCTCTTTTTATACATCTAAAAAAATCCCCATTTTAAATTTTTGGTTTTGAATATTTGAACCTCATATTTCGTGCCCCAGCTCAAGGCTTCTTCTCTGTGGAGAGAGCAATTTAGAAATCTTCCTCAGCAATAGAGGCTTGTATTCCCGCTTTCCATCTCTTTCCCCCAAATTCCTGAATGTTTTTAATTGCTCAGATGCTTATCACAAAATACAGTCAATTCACTTCACAATATATCCTGTGAAGCGCTTTGAGATGTCTCAACGATGTGATAAGGTGCTATATCAAATGTAAAGATGATTATTTTTATTATTATTATTATCCAGTTTCCTTTTGAACACGTCTAAACATCAAGCCTCAATAGCCACCTTGTAGTTGAGCACCAAACCCTTCTCACCTCCAGTTGTTTCAGTTCAGACTGGGAGGAGATTTTCATTTGGAACCTTTTCCTAATTTTTCCAACTGCAAAGGACCTGTGAGAATTAAGGCAGTCATTATTTTTTTTTTGCTTTTTTGTTTACCCAAACACATACCTTACACACGCATGCAGATACCTGCACACATATACCTATTCAGCACGCGTGTGACCAAACACACACATACAAAAATAATCCTTGGATTTGTATTTTTCTAAAACTACACTTCAACATACATCTACATGCCTTTGATGCACGTGCATTCATACACACACACATGTATGCATATGCATACACTTGCACATACAAAATAGATACACACACACCTGCACATACACACACACGTGCATGTGAACATATACACACATGCACAGAAACATTCACACATACACATATCTTCACCCGCACACACACGCACACATACACACACACATAATTTGTTTGGGTTTTGCAATTTGCTTGAGTAAAGCCATACAATAATAATGAAAATAGACAGTAAAAACAGCAGGTCATGTGTAAGTTGGGAAGTGTAGGAAATTACGATATGTGCATGTCAGTTCTGATTAATTAGATTCCTTTTCTCTGTCTATCGTTCCACTCTATGAGGAAGAAAGATAATAGATATGGAAATTAGATATATTTCAATCCACTGAATAGGCGTTGAAATGTAGTGTGGGTTTCTCCTCTTATTGGCCTGTAACACAAAGCAAATCTCCCCCAGACCAGTAATCACCAGCGCCTTCTCCCAACGTTCTCCCGGATGTGAAAAGCTCTATCTAAAAGTAATTTGTTGTTGTTGTTCGTTTCCTGAAAGTGCTTTATGAAATGACAAGACACTGGGCATATTACAGACCTATTCCTGTGTGAAATGCCTACCTATTGCCTCCTTAAATAATATATTTTTACCAAATCCTTTCATTTAATTCCACAAGATGGGTTTCGATGAAGATGGCCCCTTGGCCCATCTGATCTCATCCGTCCAGATCACCCACCCTTTAGAGTATTTTCTGTTTGTATTTTATTGACTATTAGTTATAGGATTTATTAGCCCTGTAATATGGTGTCAGAATTTAAAGAATCTACCCCTTTGTGTCTCTAACAACAACAAGATTACAATTATTATTATTAAGATTACATTTGTATAGCACCTTTCCCAAGGTGCTAAAATCCCCTCTCCTTCCTGCCACCCATTCTACAGCCATAGCTGACAGTGCACTATTTCCTCTGGATTGCTCGATGTCCATTTATAGGTTTGCTTTGTTCAGCCGGGTGTCTTGACACTTGCCGAAACCCATCCCAGGTCTACAAAAATTCCCAGTCACTCACTACGCGTTCCAGTTAAATCCCGTGAAGTGTTGTGAGACGGCACCCTGTCATAAAACGTGCAATGTCAAATGTAAAGGTTGTTACTTTTTGGGTTTCTTTATTTCAACAGTAACAACTTGCATTTATATAGCGCCTCCACACAGGGCGGTGTCTCGGAGCACTTAACAGTGATGGAGCAATTTCATTGCTCTTCCTTGCAGTATCTCCTTTCTCTCTGTCTCCCCTCCTCCACTGAAAGTCTTTGTCATTTTCCTCTCCTACATTGCTGTCGAGTGCCACTCAGTCTTGTACCATTTCCCCAGAACTATCCTGTGAAGCATCCTTTGAAGCAACACTGGCCAATTTAGCTACAGTATCCAATTGAATTTTCATAGGACTGCATTAAGCCATTAGGATGATGTGTGCACTGAAGTCCTGATGTCTCCTCTCATGGCTGCTGTTGCCAATGAATGCTTAATCTTATCCATTGCTATTTGCATTGAGGCTGAGAAAGCCAACGTTGAGAAATTCAGAGCGAGAGATCTTGGGGACAGATTTAGGCTGTCATTGTGATGTTTGTCTGGAGAGGTACAATCTTTAATAGGATGCAGAGGTTTTATTATTTGGTCAGCCGCGTGTCTGACACATACAGAAACCCAACAGCGTGCTTAGGAGTAGCCAAACCAGACTGAGAATTCCACATAAATGCAACTGATGGAAATTTCCACGTGTCTGGAATGGAATGCACACTCTCTCCTTGGAGGGATAAACTTTGCTTCCCTGATTCCAGAGTATTTTAGATACAGGTTGACAAGAGCCAAGGCTTGTGGGACCTCAGAGTATGTATTTAGCCATATAAAAATAGTGCACTGGACTCATCAACCCATCTCGATTGTCCAGTGCCATGTAACAGTGTTAAATTGCTGCGAGAATATACGCACTTGAAAGTCAAGCCTTAGCACACTGGCAATGTAGTTGCATTCAATGTTACCATCTCCCACAGGAAATGAGATTTGATTCAATCTGACTTCACCTTTGTGTGTAAAAGGCATGAAAATCTCCTTATCAGCCTGCAGCTAACCCCGCTGATTCTTCTGACAAAGATTTGTGAACGGCACAATCAGAAATATCTCCCCAAGTTACAGTAAATGACACAGACGCTATAAAACACTGACATTTCAGGGCAGAATGTTGCTCTGTATCTGATGGGGCTTAGCATCAGGCTATTGGTGTGCTTGCTTCCTGTTAATTCTCATGGCCACTGTGGTTCAAGAGTCTTTATTATTGCTGTTCAACTAGCTGGGTGCAAGCGTTGCTCATTTTAGTGCCACGCATTTGTCTCTGTCTCAGCCCTAGCGTTTTGCAAACCTCCTAATTGTATGTCTTCTCCTTCATCTGCGGAAGGCAATGATTCATACCTTGGTGCGATTTCATGGACATCAGTGACCTTCTCGCGAGGAGACTGTTCTGGAGGTGGTGCCAGCCTGGCTCAGTCAGTAACCCTGTCGCCTGAGAGTCAGATAATAATCTGGGGGCAATAAACCCTCCTCCCCAAATTTTTTTTTAAAATTTGATCATTCGGTCCACGACTGCTTGTGGGACACTGCTGTGCGCAATCTGCCAACAAATTACAGTCAGTCCACTTTACATTCTGTGAAGCACTATGAGACGTTTCAACGACGTGATAAGGCGCTACATCAAATGCAAGGATTATTACATTATCATATTATAGTTAGAACACTTTACAGTAAGTTCTGTAAAACATTTTCCGATGTCTTCCTGAAGTAAAAGGCTCCACACCAAATGTAAGGTATTACTATGATAGGGTAAGGCACTGTGAAAGTGAGCATTTTTCCTTGCCCTGAGATGACTGATCACTAGTTTCATGCTCTTTCTCTCCTGTGTCTCTCAGGGAGGAAGCGATGATCTCCGCCTCCTTCGACAGTCTGGAGGTTCTGCTCGACTCCTTTGGCCCGGTCCGAGATTGCACCAAGGACAACGGAGGCTGCAGCCGGAACTTCCGCTGCATCTCTGATCGCAAGCTGGACTCCAATGGTTGTGTGGTGAGTACGTTCTCAGAGTGAGTGGCTCAGTCAGTAGCAGGCACACCTCTGAGTCACAAGGTTGTGGGTTCAAACCCCACGTTGAAATCTTTGAACAAACACAGTCGAGGCTGACACTTGATTTGCAGTCAAACCATTTCTATGTGTTGATTCTCCTCTCTGGTCTCTTGTAGTGATCTGCTATCCACGGTAGGGGTTGATACACAATTTAAATACAGCCGGAAGCCTGCTATCCATACTTGATTAGGTTGGAAGCACTCGTGCTTCCCGGGACTCAGAAGGATGTGGGTTCAAGCCCCGTGTAGGAATTCTTCAGCTCACAGTCTAGGCCTAAACGGCATTGCAGTGCTGGGGGAGCACTGAACTGTCGGAGGTGCTGGCCTTCGGGTGAGAGCTCTGTCTGCCTGTTCAGTTTAATACGTTAAAGATCCCGAGGCTCTCTTCCAAAAGAGAACAAAGTTTCTCCCAGTTTAATAGCCAACAATCCCCCAGATAAAATTTATCATTCTCCTCATGGCTGTTTGTGGGAAGTTTCTGTGTGCGAACAGGACTTTGTGAACGCCTTTTAGATTTCTTTACTGAGCTGAGAAAGGATTGTGATCTACCTCAGTGCATCGGTTCACATTCCTGGGCTCTTAGTTTATTACCACACTGACTGTCATTTCCCAGAAGGTTCCTAGAAAGCGATACCTTCTGCAAATGGTATTTGACAAAATCGTACGTTTCAGTGTGGGAGGCTTTGAAGTGGTGAGTTGTGGCCCTCTGCTCTTGTTGTGCCTCGTTTTATGACTGTTTCGCTTTGAGCTGAATCCTTTGTTTCCAACAAATATTGTTTCAGAAATATCAAGCATATTTCTCCCTGAAGCATCATACCAAAGCGGGAGAGGGAGGCGTTCGCCAAAATATATAGCTTCATGTGGAACAAGCGACGAAAAGAGACAGCAAAGACATTGATATGGTCAATAAAATGCACCCTGTGAAGGGTGACATCGAGTGTGAGCACGACGGGCAGCATGAGGAGCAATGTTAGTTTGAGCGTAGTGTGTCTGCTGTTCACATCAGTGAGAAGCACACAGTTGTAAAAATAGTCACCATTAGAATTTAGCAACACTGAATGTGTGGAGTCCTGTAGCGTAGTAGTTAGAGCACTCAACTCGCAAGTGAGAGAACCCGGGTTCGATTCCCAGGCGGGGCAAAACCTCAGGCAAGTTTCCTTACTCCACACGCCTCTGTTTACCTAGCAGTAAGTAGGAAACCGGTTGTTACTGTTTGTGGGACACTGTCGTGCGCAATTGGCTATTGCGTTTCGTCCACAAAATACACAGGCAATTCACTTTACAATATATTCTGTGAAGCGCTGTGAGATGTCTCAATGATATAATAAGGGATTATATCAAATAAAACTATTTTATTATCAATAATAATCCTTACATTTGACATAGTGCCTAAAGTATCAAATCACCTCAAAGCAGCTAATATTTGCACATCACAAATAATAATAATGACGATACTTCCATTTCATAAATATCTTCACATGTAATTGCTGCAAAAAATGCAGTGACTGTATTTATAGGCACACATAGCAGTCCATTTATGCAGAGCATATGTCCCACAAACCAATTTATCTGGGAGATTGTTGACCAGGACAATAGGAAAGGAACTGAATTTAAAAGCAGTGGGGAGGGGATGGTAATTTGTCAGACCCCCTTCGCTTTAGCATCGCTGCTGATTTGTGCGCTGTCAAATTGTAGATACAAACAAAGGTGTATAACATTATTTTTCCCACCTGTTACTTACTTTGACTTTGGCAGCAGCAAGACTTCCAAACAAAACCATTTTTCAGTGGATGTGAAATCTGGACCGAGTGCAATTTCTAAATCTAATACTAAAGTCAATTGCAAAAGTTATTTGTTATGTAATGAATCCTTCAGTAACTGCTGTTCACTCTGGATATAGAGTAATAGATGACTGGCAGTGACTGGCAAAGCAGTAATTCAATCCATGGCCTTTGATGGTGCCATAAACTGTGAGAATGAAGTTTGAGAGCTTTATGAATATGAATCCTGAGATTGAATTACTGCTGTCAATTCAACACCAAACATTTGTTATTTGCCTTAAATGTGCAAGACGAAGTGTTGCAACTATTATGTAATGGTTGCTCCATTGAAGACCATTGTTTATTTATGTATATGCATATATCTATATATCGGTAGATAGTAGGATGTGTGTGGATATATACATGTATATGTGTGCATAATAATAATAATCCTTGCATTTGATATAGCGCTTTTCACGTCTTCTAGTCGTCTCAAAGTGCTTCACAGAATATACTTTAAAGTGAATTGATTGTATATTTGTGGGCGAAACACGGCAGCCAATTGTGCACAGCAGTGTCCCACAAACAGACATGGATTCAAGTGACCAATTTTATTAATCTTTTTCTTGAGGCATGTGGAGTAAGGAAACTTGCCCAAGGGTTCGCCCTGCTGGGAATCGAACCCAGCTCTCTCGCTTGCAATGCGAGTACTTTAACCACTGAGCTACAGGACTCCTTGTGTATATGTATATATATATATATATGAGAGCTAGAACAACCTCAAATAGGTTCCAACCTATAACTCACCACTGTACACTTATTGTCTCTATATATCAGTGTCAGCCTGACTCAGTTGGTTGCACTCTCACCTCTGAGTCAGAAGATTGTGAGTTCAAGCCCTATGTTGGAGTCCTGTAGCTCAGTGGTTAGAGCACTCGCTTTGCAAGCGAGAGACCTGAGTTTAATTCCAGGCAGGGCGAAACCTTGGGCAAGTTTCCTTACTCCACACGCCTAATAATAATCCCTCCAAAACCAAAAACAATAATAAATTGGTCATTTTCAATCTACGACTGTTTGTGGGACATTGCTGTGCGCAATTGGCTGCCGCGTTCGCCCTCAAATATACAGTCAATTCACTTTACAGTATATTCTGTGAAGTGCTTTGGGACGTCCTCCCGACGTGAAAAGCGCTGTATCAAATGCAAGGAATATTATTATTATGTTGTGTCTTTGAACTCACGTAGTCTTGGTTGATATTCCAATGCAGTGCTGGGGGTGCATTTCATTTCTGTGCTTCGGACGAGATGTTTAGCCAAAGTGCCCTCTGCCTGTTCAGGTTGAAGATCCCATGGTACTATTCAGAAAGACAAGCGAGGTTCTCCTGGTGTCCTGGCCAACAACCTCCCCCCGAAAATAAAATTGGCTATTCACTTCATGTGTGAGACATGGCGGTAAACAAATCGACTGTTTGTGAGATCACAGTTCATCCCTAACTTGGTGTCACCTTCAAATACAGTTGCTTTTACACTGGGCCTTTGTGTCCAGGTCATTAATGTGGAGGAGAGAAAATGGGATAGTTCCAGCAGCAAAACTCAGGGAACATTTGGAATTTAAAAGCCTGTAGGGTGAAGGGAAGCCAGAGGGGTAGATAGCAGAGTTAATGTCCTGCGATTTCGAGTAAGAGGTGGTGTAATGTGTCATGGCACTAACACAGTGAACACACAGCAAGGAGGAAAAGCTCACTGGATGATATAATTGTAGCTTGGGAGAAATGAGGGAGAAGAGGTCAGAGGAGCAATGGTCACAGCAGCATTGATAACCCACAGTAAAGACAAGGTGGATTGCAATGGGGTTAGAGGTGAGAGCAGGGTCACCATCACAGGATGCTTCTTGGCACACATCCTGTCCAGCAGGGTGACAGCAGAGCTGGAAGGGACAAGTGAGACACAGGCAGCTTAACCTTTTATTATCTTGATTGCAGACGAAGCTGTATTGCACTGCTGTAGTATGCTTCTAACTCTCAGGTTTTTCTCTGAAATGAACTGCTGATGTACTTTAATGTACTGTTAAACCGATTCTTTTGCCCACAAAATATACAGTCTATTCGCTTTACAGTATATTCTGTGAAGCGCTTTGAGACGTCTCAATGACATGATAAGGCGCTATATCAAATGCAAGGTTTATTATGATCATTCTTTACAAAACATTTTTCCCTTTTTTTCCAGAACATCTTTATAACTAAATAGTCAATCTTGGGTACAGAAGCAGTACACATCTTCTGTGTATCACACTCTGGACCTTTCAGAGACTCCATACTAGATAATGGGATAAATACAACAACAACTTGTATTTCTATAGCCCCCTTCATGCAGGGTAGAGTCAGAGAGCTTAACAATGGTGGAGTTTGGTGCTGAGCCAGGGAGAAACGGGAGGTGACCATAGGCACTATGGAAAAGGAAAATCTTCAGGTGTGATCTGAAGATGGACAAAGAGGGGTCATGGTTGAAGGATTGAGGCAGGAAGTTCCAGAAGTTCGGGGCGTGTTGGCTGAAAATACTGCCACCAGTTGTGGAGTGGAGGGGTCAAGAGATGTGCAGAAGGCCATTTTACTTATTACAAGTAATAATAAAATAATTCATATTCCTTGCTTTCCATCCATTTGATACAGCGCCTTATCACGTAGTCATAATGTCTCAAAGCACTACCCAGGATATACTGTAAAGTGTAATGACTATTTAGGTGAACAGACTCAAGGGGTGATGCCAATTTGCACAACAAAGTCTCACAGACATCTATGGAGTTAATGACTTTTTTTGAAAGATTGTTGGCCGGGACACTGGGAGAAATTCCCCTCTCTTTTCAAACAGTGCCATGGGATCTTTGAAGCCCAGCGGAACAAGCAGAAGGGACCAGGAATTAATGTCTCATCAGAAAACCTACCCCCCAAAAAATGGAGCACTCTCCCAAAACTCCTCCTGTGGGGCTTGAACCTGTAACCATATGATCCAAGAATGCGACCAGCTGAGCCAAGCTGGCACAAGTAGTGTCACAGTTTGGTCAACCTTAGTTGTCACAAACAAAGGCAATGACTTGTAATTTACAGCCACAAACAAACAAGGCCAGAATGGAAACTTTGAGGAAAAGGTGAGCAGATACGGTCAAACTCATGCTGCACAGAACCATA